ACCACGCGCCCGTCAGCTCGCCGACTCTTACCCCAGGCCGCTGGCCGCGAGCTTCTGCAGAAATTTCTTGCGGGACAGCCGGTCCATCACTTTGCGGTAGGCCTTGTCAAGGATCAGGTTCAAGACGTCTCTAAGGGGGAGGCGAAGTGCGCGCCCGGGGTCACCGTCTCCGTCCCCGCGGCTGCCCAGGCCCCCCGCAGGCGAGCCCGCAGCTCGGGGCTCCAGGGGTTAACGGGAAACCCCCAGAGGCCCAGACCCCGCGAATAACTCTCTTGGGAGGTTCCCTAGAGTGACCGCCAGGGACAGAAGTTCCTCCTGCCCTCCTGGGGAGCAGGTGTCTGGGCTCCCCACCGGCCGGCGCATCCCCTGGCCCCCTGCCCCCCACGACCACAGACCTTGCGGTCACCGCTCGGCCCTCCAGTCCCCACAGGCCGGCCCGCGACCAACTTTCTGTCGCCGTCGTGGGGACCAGGGAGAAGGCTGTCTGGAGGACTTTTATGAGAAAGAACCCACGGGGTGCGCAACACCCGGCCCCTCCCACAACCTCAGTCCGGGGCGCCGCGGCCGCACCTCATCCCCCTGGGGTGGCGGAGCGCGCCGGCCTCGCGGTACGCGGGGGCGGGGCTGTCCGTGCCCGGCGGCTCCGTGTAGTACTTTTGCAGCAGGTTTCCGTCTTCGTCGTAGGCCTCCTCCTCCGACCTGCCAGGGTAGCGGGGGCAGAAGGCGTGGTCAGGACAGGTGCCTCCCCGGCTGTGCCGGGACCCCCCCCCAAAAAATGGGCTCCCTCTGATTTTTCTGCCTCCTAACGGTCTCCCACGGAGACCTGCCTCTTCTTCCCGGACAGGGGTCGGGGTAGAGCTGAGGCGGAGGAAACTACATCCGAATGAAATTCCCACCCGCGAGGCGACTCTCCCAACCCTCGATTCGCGGGTGAAGGGTCGGCGCCTCCGCGGGCACTGGGGAGCCCACGCGTCTCCGCGAAGGGCCGCCCCGCTGCCCGCCGGCTCCCGAGCCTCCCCGGACCGCAGCAACGGGCGAGTGCGAGCGAGGTCCGAGGAGCCGGGCGCTGGCCCACGCGAAGGCCCGATGGACCAGCCGGGCGCAAAACACCGAGGGCGGGTGGATGCGGGTGCGCGGCGGCCAACTCCGGCAGCCGCCCCCACCCAGCCTCTGAGCCCAGGGGAGCCCTTTCCCGCACGGATGTAGGTCACGGAGAACCTCCGGCTTCTATTTTGGGCCGGAGAGGATCTGGCAGGAACACGAATAATAGATGTCTCTAAACTTAGTCGATTTGGCGGCGGCTGGTTCTGTGGCATCTCCGTGCCTTCCGTGCCTCTCGCCCGGGGAAATGGCTGGGGGTGAAAGTGGGGCTTTATTAAGTCCCCTAAAAAATTGTTCTCGCTAATCTGTTAGCGATGGCAAGGCGATGGGACCGCACCTCAACCTTGGGGATCAGGAAAATGGGCAGCAGTGGCCCGAGAGCCACAGAGAGCGCAGCGGCCGCGCAGTCGCCCTCGCCTCCCGCCTCTAAACCTAGATACCGGGCGGGGCGAGGTGGGTTAAAGCACAAAAACTCCTCGCTTTCGGCCGCTGGAGAGGCTCGGAAATCGGCCGGGCACTTCGCTCTCTCTAGGAGGGGTTGAAGTCACACGTCGTTATTCCGCACTCCTTCCCTTCATCCCTGGAGAGCTAAGGGCAAAGCAAGCCCATCCTTGCGCCTGCCTCGTGCCCAGGCTTCCCCGGGCCACCCGCCTCTGCCCTGACCGGCTGGCCGAAGCCCCTGGGTCTCCCTGGCCACCTCCCCCCTCCCTGTGCCCAGATGTTGGAGGGTTAACACTATAGTCAGAACCCGTCTCTCGGGCCAAATCAATGGTCAGTGGCCCCTAAGGCACGGTTTTGGGGACCGGCTCGGAGAAACAGCCTTGCAGGCGCAACTCGCGCTCCTCGCCGCCAGGAGACCGGTGCACGCGGGGCGCGGGCGCGGAGCTGCAACGCCGGATTTCACTCACCCGCTGACCCGTGGGGCGCTCTGGGGCCGAGCCCCGGAACCCGACTGGTTAGAAGCCAGGCTTAAGAGAAAAGCCAGGCTTACTCCGCCCCAGGCGGGCAGGGCCGGCCACATACCGCCCGCCCGCCGGCTTTCCCCCGCTGTGCCCGCCGCCGCTGCACCTGTTTCTCCCTCCCCCTCCCCCCAGGCTCCTTCTCGTCCTTCCTTCTCTCAAATCGCTTCTCCTCACCCTTTCCCGGCCAACACCCCCCTTCCTCATGGCAGCCTGGGGCTCAAAATGCAGTTGGAAAACGTATCACTTGAAAGAAAGCTCTTCCAGGAGAAAGAATTGGAATTGAGGTGAGCGAGACCCCTGTGCGACCGTGCGGAACAAGCGGTAACAAAGCAAAATCGCCGGGAGCTTCGCGCTCAGCCCCCACCCGGCTCCGGGCGCCCAGGTCCTCCTAACTCCGGCCGAGACCAGGGCGAAGAAGTCCAGCTCCGGGCCAGGCCCTGCCCCGCTCCCGCGGGCGGGGCTGGAGGTGGGTCGGCTGCTCCAGCCCCCGGGAGCGCGCTCCTTCCCCCGGCCCCTCGGCGGCCGCGGGCTG